TTGGAAACTAGCCTGGGCAACATGGCAAGACCTCATCTATACAAAAAAATTGAAAAAATTAGCTGGATGTGGTGATATGCACCTGTAGTTCCAGCTACTTAGGAGGTGGAGATGGAAGGATCGCTTGAGCCCAGGAGGATGAGGCTGCAGTAAGCGATGATTGTGCCACTGTACTCCAGCCTGGGTAACAGAGTAAGACTGTTGACTCAGGAGGAAAAAAAAAGCCACCAAATCACAGTATAATGTAACAACATTTTTTTTTTTTTGAGTTGGAACCTCACACTGCCAGCCAAACTGGAGTGCAGTGGCATGCTCACGGACACTGCAGCCTCAACTTGCTGGGCTCAGGTGATCCTTTCGCCTCAGCCTTCCAAGTAGCTGGAACTACAGGCATGCGCCACCACATCTGGATAATTTTTTGATTTATTATAGAGATGAGGTCTCACCAAGTTGCCCAGGCTGGTCTAGAACCCTGGGACTCAGGCAATCCTCTCACCTCAGCCTCCCAGAGTGCTGGGATTACAGGCGTGAGTCACTACGCCCAGTCTACGATATTTTACAGAAACACATTTTTACAGCAAATAATGAAATGATCATACTTTTTTTTTTTTGAGGTGGAGTCTCACTGTGTTGCCCAGGCTGGAGTGCAGTGGCACACTCACGGCCACCCCAGCATCGACCTGCTGAACTCTGACAATCCTACCTCAGCCTTCCAAGTAGCCAGAACAATAGGCACATGCTACCACAACCAGCTAATTTTTTATTTATTATAGAGATGATGTCTCGCCAAGTTGCCTGGGCCTTGAATCTACGGGCTCAGGCAATCCACTCACCTCAGGCTCCCAAAGTGCTGGGATTTGAAGCTGAGGCACTGCGTCCAACCAATCATAAGATTTTTAAAAATCAAGTAAGCAACTTCAGAATATGACCCCTCTACCAAATTTTATTTTATTTTATTTTTGAGGTTGGCGTCTCACTCTGTCACCCAGACTGGAGTGCAGTGGCCGCTCCCGGCCACCGCAACCTCGACCCACTGGGCTCTGGCGATCCTTCCGCCTCAGCCTTCCAAGTAGCTGAAACTATAGGCGCACATTACCACGACCGGCTAATTTTTTGATTTATTGTAGAGATGAGGTCTCGCCAAGTTGCCCAGGTGGGTCTTGAACCCGCGGGCTCAGGCAATCCACTCACCTCAGCCTCCCAAGGCACGGGATTACAGGCTGAGCCACCGAGCCCAGCTCCAAATTTTATTTATGCAAAAGAATAAAGCAACTTGTGTGCCACGATCAAATGTGAGAGAAAGTCAAAAAGTACAAGAGAGCCAGCTTCCTCCGGGATCTTGAAACACACACAGAGATGGTCAGCCATTATTAATCATTCAGCACTTTAAAATGATTAAACATTAATAGGAAATATGTAAGACCTATCATAAAAAGTTAAAAGGGTTGAATAAATGAATAATTATGCTGTGAGTCTAGAAAGGTAAGCTAAATATTAGGAGCATATCAATTGTCAAGTCAATTTATACATTTAACATAATTCTAACCAAAAGCAGCCAAAGGCATGGATGCATATAAAAGAATATTTCACAAAACACAGATGGAGTCCAGACTCTTCCACATTCCTTTTTTTTTTTTGAGCTCGAGTTTCACTCTGTCGTCCAGACTGGAGTGCAGTGGCCGCTCCCAGCCACCGCAGTCTCGACCTGCTGGGCTCTGGCGATCCTTCTACCTCAGCCTTCTAAGTAGCTGGAACTACAGGCGCGTGCTACGACGCTCGGCTAATTTTTAATTTATTGTAGAGATGAGGTCTCGCCAAGTTGCCCAGGCAGGTCTTGAACCCGCGGGCTCAGGCAATCCACTCACCTCGGTCTCCCAAAGTGCTGGGATTACAGGCTGAGCCACTGAGCCCGGCCCTCTTCCACATTCTAAGAAGTGGAGTCCAGAGTTTACCAGGTAATAACAATTAACAAAACAAGAATGTAAATTATGTTTATTCTTACAAATATGAATATCTAGACCAAAAGAAAACATGGAAATAAGCCAGACACAGTGGCTCATGCCTGTAATCCCAGCACTTTGAGAGGCAGAGGCAAGAAGATTGCCTAAGCCCAGGGGTTCGAGACAAGCCTGGGCAACTTAGCAAGACCTCATCTCTACAATTAAAAAAAAAAAATTAGCCGGGCCTGGTGGCACACACCTGTAGTTCCGGCTACTTGGAAGGCTGAGGCAGAAGGATCACCCAAGCCCAGCAGGTCGAGACTGTGGTGGCCACGAACGTGCTACTGTATTCCAGTTTGGGCAACAGAGTGAAACTCCAACTCAAAAAAAGAAAAGAAAATGTAAAACTGCTACATAAAAAAAAAAAATAATAAAAGTAAAACAGCAGGCTGGGCTCGGAGGCTCAGCCTGTAATCCCGTGCTTTGGGAGGCCAAGGTGAGTGGATTGCCTGAGCCCAAGGGTTTGAGACCAGCCTGGGCATTTTGGTGAGACCTCATCTCTACAATAAATCAAAAAATTAGCCGGGTGTGGTAGTACGCACCTGTAGTTCCAGCTACTTGGAAAGCTGAGGCGGAAGGATCACCAGAGCCCAGCAGGTCAAGGCTGCGGTGGCTGGGAGCATGCCACGGCACTCCAGTCTAGGCGACAGAGTGAGACTTCAACTCAAAAAAAAAAATAAAAGTAAAACAGCTAGCAAAGAGTGAACGGAAATACAACAAAGAGCGCCTGCCCACACCACCTACCAGGTGGGCCAACATCAACTGACAGCTTGGCACCAAGGCTGAGCGATCAGCAGGTCAAGGACAAAGAAAAGGAAATGAAAGGAAACAGTGAAAACAAGAGGAAAAGCAACAGTGCTCGTCACAGGGTAAGTAAATTTCCTTTACTATGAGTAAAAACATCAAACGTCAGGCAAGCTGCCTGGAGGGAATGGAAAGGACCACAGAACTAGATCTGATAACTCCACCCTCGCATCCTAGAGCCCAGGAATAAGCTCTCCTCTTTGCACACCCCAGAGCACCTGGTCATGATGCTTCAAACACAGCACATTCACAAATTATTTGTAAACTCATAGCCAGCCAACTTTAAAAAACAAATGTGGAACTCAGTACCATGGCTATCTCTACGATAACTTCTAAAAAATCATTAAGGCACTAGAAAGACAACATGCATTTTGTAAATGTTTGTGGCTTATTGAACCAAGGCATCTGCTTTTTGCCATGTCTAAGCACTTCTTCAATTCAGCACTCTATAAACAAATGTTAAATATGTCAAATGTTTCTCATGCCTTGATTTTTGTAAACAATCTAAACATGACATTGACCAGAATTTACATTTGAAGGTGTATCATTTTTTAAAGTTTGCATGTAGGCCAGATGTGGTGGCTCATGCCTATAATCCTAACACTCTAGGAGGCTGAGGTGAGAGGACTGCCTGAACTCACGGGTTCGAGACCAGCCTGGGCAACTTGGCAAGACCTCATCGCTACAATAAATCAAAAAATTAGCCAGGTGTGGTGGTGTGCATCTGTGGCTCCAGCTACTTAGAAGGCTAAGGCAGAAGGATTGCCTGCACCCAGCAGGTGGAGTCTGTGGTGGCCATGAGCATGCCACTGTACTCCAGCCTGGGTGACAGAGTGAGGCTCCTACTCAAAAAAAACCAAAACAAAAAGTGTGCACATGCTTCTTATACATGCTTCTCACACATGCTTCTCTTATTGCACATCTGCTGTTAACAATAACAAAAATATCTTTTGACTTCAGCATGGCAGAAAGAAAGTGGGGAGAAACTCAGATGCCCAAGGCAAGATTTATTTTAGGTAATCCTTCATAGTGTACATATTTAGAAAATTATCATTTCTAAATTTGTCTTTTTTTCAAAAAATCATTTGCTAAGTTTAAGCGAAAACTTTGCCACACAAAAAAATGGGGTGAAAAGGATTAATTAGGATTTCAGCTCCTGTAAACTTGCATAACAGAATTTTACAAGATCCAACTAGAATCACAGGATGGGGAGAAATGTAGAAAAAGTAAATCAGACATTTATTATGAGAAGAACTTTCATATAATCACTTGTGAAAATTAGATTTGACCAAGGAGGTTCATTTTATACCTTTGAGTAATTTTTTTTTTGAGTTGGAGTCTCACTCTGTCGCCCAGACTGGAGTGCAGTGGCAAGCTCGCGGCCACCGCAGACTCGACCTGCTGGGCTCTGGCGATCCTTCCGCCTCAGCCTTCTGCAAGTAGCCGGAACTACAGCCACGAGCTACCACGCCTGGCTAAACCTTTGAGTAATTTTTAACCATTTATCCCTTTTGACCTTATTTTACCCTTCCTTTGCTTAAAAAAAAAAAAGGAGAAAAAAGCTACTGTTTTGTATTAGAAGGAAATTCCTAAAAGGAACATCATTTTAGAAACCTATCAATGAGCCGGGCTTGGTGGCTCAGCCTACAATCCCGCACTTTGGGAGGCTGAGGTGAGTGGACTGCCTGAGACTGCTCGAGACCCGCCCGGGCAACTTGGCGAGACTTCATCTCTACAATAAATAAAAAAATTAGCCAGGTGTGGTAGCGCGCACCTGTAGTTCCAGCTATTTGGAAGGCTAAGCAGAAGGATCGCCTGAGTCAAGCAGGTCGAGCCTGCAGTGGCCAGGAGCGGCCACTGCACTCCAGTCTGGGCAACAGAGTGAGACTCCAACTCAAAAGAAAAAAAGCTAAACATTTGTATTTGAAACAGTAGGTACATCTACAGCTATAACCACCCTGAATGTGCTCAATCTCATCTGAAATAGTACAGTACTTCCCATTTGCTAATTACAGAACATCAAACAATGTAGTTATTTATTTAAAATACATTAAGAAAATATATTTTGGAATATATTACCTTTCCAATTGAGAAAAAGAATTAGATTAAAAAACAATCATATTAATAGATATAAAATATATCATTACGAATATATTTCTGTTAAAGTACCAACGTCTTAATATAAATCATTTTTACCTTTTTTTAAGGAATGTAATGCTGAGGTGAAGAAGGTCATATAACCAGGAGGCTGGGGGGAGCCACTGAACTCAAAATACCCAAGTACTCCAGGCTGCAGAACAAGAACACAATTAGGTAACCAAGGCACTGTCAGTCATGCTGTAAATAGAAGATATTTTAAAACAAGAAAGACGTGACGTTATAATATGCCTGTTGCTGCATCGCATCTTTTCAGAAGGCCTAGTCACATGAGAAGGCTGCAGGTTAGGGCTCAACTCCCCCTCTATCAGACAACAAGCCTAGAGAGGGATGGAGGCACAGCAGCTTCGACAGAACTGCACAGTAGCTACTCGGGAGTCTTCCTGGAACATCCTCTTCTCTATGTTGGTCTTTCCACCCTCTGTTGACAGCACAATTCTCCCAGGTCTCTGGCTCAAAACTTCATCAAGTTCTGGTACTCACTCGCCTTTAACAACTCTAGGTCCCTGAATTGTACCTCACATCTTTGAAATAAATTTTTTTAAAATTAAAAAACCCCAAAACTCTAGGTTAAGTCATGTCAGTGATTTCTTTGTAACTGTTCTTAGGTTTCTTCTTCAATCACTTCCTCTCACTCCAAAGGTACCTTCCTACTTTGCTGGAAATCATATTACATCTGACTGACTTCACCTGTGATCAAGCCTCTTCAAGGGGCCTTCCCCAACCTCAAGCCCAGAACACAGCATTCCACAGTGGTAACCCTCCTCTCCCATGAGGCCAGTCTGCAGAGGACCCACCTCCTGTCCTCAGACTCCACAAACTCATTTCCACCTGCTCATTTCACTTTCTCTAAGCTTAGCACAGAATGTCCCTTCATTCCACCAAACCATTAGGTGACCCTACCAAGCCAGGCTGGGTGGCTCAGCCTGCAATCCCATGCTTTGAGAGACTGAGGTGAGTGGATTGCCTGAGCCCGTGGGTTCGTGAACCACCTGGGCAACTTGGCGAGACCTCATCTCTACAATAAATCAAAAATTAACAGGGCGTGGTAGCGTGCGCCTGTAGTTCCAGCTACTTGGAAGGCTGAGGCGGAAGGATTGCTGGAGCCCAGCAGGTCGAGACTGCAGTGGCCAGCGCAGCCACTGCACTCCAGTCTGGGCGACATAGTGAGACTCCAACTAAAAAACAAACAAACAAACAAAAAAGTGACCCTATATTCTGCCTTCCTGTTTCTCAATCACTTCTTTCTTTGAAGGCCTTATGAGCTGTTGGGCTTTGTTCTCTAATAATCACATCTGTCTTAAAAGCCAACCTATGAGATCCCTGAGGAAAGAGTGCTTGGCAAGGGGTCAGAACACCTAAGTTCAAGTCAGAGTTCTAGTGTCTGAATGAATAACCTTGGGTGACCCCTCCAATATGAAGTCTCAATCTCCTGATCTAGCAAACAGGGACAGTTCCTCATGAGGTTACCGTGAAGAGAGAGTCTGATGAACTGTAAAGCACTAGGCAAAATAAAAGAATCCTTTCTAGCCTGAAAGCACTTGGCACCCTGCTCTGAAGTGGAGGTAACTGAGGAAGCTGACCTGATAACTGGGACAAAATCAGATGCAAAAGTTAAGATGGAAACTTAATCTGCTGGTAAAGTTTAAAATTAGCATGTTGTATAAAAGAGGACACTTCTGATCTGCAGTGGAATATATTACCTTTCCAGTCTAAACCACTTGAATATTCTAAGATTCAATTCTAAATCCATCAACTAAAACCAACTGAGATGAAATGTTTAATTCTAATTTCTAAAACATCCAGGAAATAATTTCTCAAACAACTTAGGAAACCAGAAAGTAAAGTTATTGAAAACAGGATTTCCTTTTGCTCTACTTCAAAACATCTTTAACAAACCAAGTGACAACTGGTTTAAAGTAGGATTATATAGTATTCTGGGGTCTTAAAGTTTCAAACTGTGCTATGATGGTGTAATCAGTTTTCTTACCAAGAACAAAGGAAGACAAAATACTCAGAATTTCTACTTCCTTGTTAACATAGGACACAATATAACAAAAACGGAAACTAAATGAAAGAAAATACTCATTAAAGTTTCTTTAAATTCTGACCAATCTCCCAAACCAAAACCAAATGGAATAAACTTATTCTACATATTAATAAATGTTCTATACCTAGAAATTAAGGTAAATTTTAGCCTTCTTCCCACATCACATTATCTTAGGTGGCTTCACAGAAGTGGAGATATGGCCCGTAAACATGTACGCACATTAATGGAAGTAAAATAATTATGAATTCTGAGTCTCCAAGGGAAATCCAAATTAAACCTTTAAAAATGAGTAAAAGTTGAATGGTTTGTAGATGTCTGTTGTGGACATTTTTACAGTCTAAAGGTTTGTTCTGGCCAACCAATCCCTGCGGCAGTTTCTATATAGCTTGGATGAAGAAGCCTCTCTATCCTCAGAAGAAATGGCACTGAAATTTTTAAGCAGCTTGACGAAAGAAGCTCAGCAAATAACACAATGCAAAACAACCCTATAAGCAAAATTGTGTTCACTCTTCACTGCCAAAGAAATGAAGGTCATAAGATTCAACAACTGGCAGAGCACAGTGGCTCACGACTATAATCCCAGCACTTCAGGAGGTCAAGGTGAGAAGATTACCTGAGCCCACAGGTTTGAGACCAGACCAGGCAACTTGGCAAGACCTCATCTCTACAATAAATCAAAAAATTAGCTGGGCTTGATGGCACATGCTATTGTTCCAGCTACTTGGAAGGCTGAGATGGAACGATCACCTGAGTCCAGCAGGTCAAGGCTGCGGTGACTATGAGCATGCCACTACACTCCAGTCTGGGTGACAAAGTGAGACTTTGACTCAAAAACAAGCAAAAAAAAAAAAAAAGTTACTAAACCAACTCTGGTTATGCTTTACTGGTAAAGCAATTTTGTAACCTTTTCCCCAATTTCAATGTCTTCACGATGGAAGCTATGACATCATTTTAAAAACTGTCACAGCTGGGCTTGGTGACTCAGCCTGTAATCTCAGCACTTTGGGAGGCCAAGATGAGTGGACAGCCTGATCCCGCGGGTTCGAGACCAGCCCAGGCAACTTGGTGAGACCTTATCTCTACAATAAATCAAAAATTAGAAGCCGGGCTCGGTGGCTCAGCCTGTAATCCCGCGCCTTTGGGAGGCTGAGGTGAGTGGATTGCCTGAGCCCGCGGGTTCGAGACCCGCCTGGGCAGCGAGACCTCATCTCTACAATAAATCAAAAAATCAGCCAGGTGTGGTAGCGCATGACTGTAATTCCGGCTACTTGGAAGGCTGAGGCGGAAGGATTGCCAGAGCCCAGCAGATTGAGGTTGCGGTGGCTGGGAGTGGCCACTGCACTCCAGTCTGGGTGACAGAGTGAGACTCCAACTCAAAAAAAAAAAAAAAAAAAATTTTCATTTATTAAACTACTAGGAATAAATGAATATACGTATGCTAAATAAATATTTAGCCGGGCACGGTGGCTAACACCTGTAATCCCAGAACTTTGAGAAGTAGAGGCAAGAGCATTATCTAAGTCCAGGGATTCAGACAATAAATCAAAAAATTACCTGGGCATGATGGCACAAGCCTGTAGTTCCAGCTACTTGGAAGGCTGAGGAGGAAGGATCACCTGAGCCCAGCAGGT